AAGGGTTCAGTGAATGCGCATATGAAACTGGCAGGTTTCACACACACACACCTAAGGAGAATTTGTAGTGACCACTTAACCTGACAGTCATGTTTTGGACTGTGGGAGGAAACAGGAGAACAGGAGAGAACCCACGCATGCACAGGGAGAACATGCAAACTCTATGCAGAAAGACCCTGGGAATTGAACCCAGAACCTTCTTGCTGCAAGGCAACAGAGCTTAATCCTGTAAATAAAAATATACAAATTTTGTACTTGTATGATAGCGATGGAGGTTCATCAATAAAATAATTCTGATCACAAGATAAACAACAGCTATTAGAAAAAGTAATAATTCATATTACTGTAGATGGAAATGTAGTAACTAAAAAAACAATGGCATTTCATTCTCTAAAAATCCTCCCAGAAATATTAACTGTGGGTAATTTTGAGTCAAAGTCTGGAAAAACTAAAAACATTTAAACTAAAAACATTTATTGTTGATAAGCTTCAACCAGCTGAGATCAGGACCTCAAGCAGGTGGAACCACCTAAAGAACAATTAATAAAATTAAAAAGTCAATGAAGCTTTTAAAAATATTAAACTGTAGTAAACAGAAGATTATTTTTACATTTTTGTTTTTGCCAGACTCGCTCTCTACCGCTCTCCTGTGGTCACACATTGTAACTACACACTAAAATCCTTCAAACTTGTTCAATGATGAATCGGTTTAATTATAAAATTACGACCGATTATCAGTGAACTGAAGGACAGACTCCATTGTTCAGCATCAGAGTTTAGATCTGCAGCTCCTGATAATCAGTTTGTGTTTAAAACAAACTGCTGCTAAAATCTGTTAGCATCGCTAGCATAGCTCAGAGTCTCTGTGGACCTGCTTCTGGTTCACACTGACAGAGAAAACATTGAAGTGAACCCAGGAGAAGAATCTGCCTTCATTTATATCACTGGGAAGCAGTTAACCTGCTAGTCTGAAGCTGGAAACCAGTTAGCTCGTGTATTTTATTTAACTTGGTCTAAATAATGCAAAATAAACTGTTGTCTAAATTAGAAGCTTAAAAAGCTGAAATCAACTGAACAGGATGTTTATGTTATTACTAAATAAACATGTCAAAGTAAAAAGAAACTTAAATATATTTTAATTTCTTTATCCCAATACAAAAAGCTAGACAGCATGAAGGATTAAAATAAAAGGTGCAGTTATTATATTTGTACAAAGAGCATTATTAAAATATTTATTAACCAAATAACCCATATTAGGTTAGAAGAAATATAAAAAACATGAACCAATCAGCACATTATCCCAGTGATTCTCTGAGGTCTGAATAAATCAGTGAATCTTAGTAAAGAGCCTGATGCGACACATCGAGTCCTAAAGTTCTCTAGAAAACTGAAAACATGAAACATGGAGGTAAAAATGGAAAAAAACAAAACAGACTGAGAATCAATGATGATGCAAAACTTCATTATTTACATTTTATAGTATAAAAACATTAAAATATACAAAACCTTTTTTTAATCAGATAAATGCTGGATGTTCCTGAAAACTGCTCTAAGATCAGAGTTCCTGTGGGACATCCAGTTCTAAACTGGTTAAACTGGTTTCTGTGATGGAAGCTGAAGTTTCTCTGCAGATTCCAGTACAGCATCTTTTTATCTGAGGAGCTTTGAGGAACATTTTCCTGTCAGCAGAAGAAGCAGCAGAGAAAAGAGGTTTGAAGTGTCTTTATGATTCAAAGCTGAACTGAAAATGATTCCCATGTTTCCATCTCAGACCATTTCTGGTTCCAGGATGAAAATGAATCAGAGAGAAAAAAGATCAACTTTCCAGTTGAATCCAGTTCAGATCAAAACTCCATGAAGCCTCTAAATGGAGCCCAGTTTGAATCGGATCTTTATTGATCCAAAGAGACAAACAATATCAGACACTAAATGACAGACATGAGAAAATAAACAGGAGGAAAATCTTGGAGGTCAGAGGTCATCATCATGATCCAGTCAGAGTCTCTTTAGACTCAAACTGCTGCAGCTTCAACCTCTGAGGATCAGCAGGACACAGAGACCGTTCTCTACTTTACAGAGATCATCAGTCCTTCCACCTGCAGAGAGAAGAAGGAAGGAGAGATCAGATCAGTGAGTGTGTTTCCAGCCTCTCCAGCAGCAGTCAGTGACGCAGCACATCCACTAGATGGTTTCCAGGCAGCAGTCAGACTGATCTCAGAGCTGTGACTAAGATGAACCTGATCAGTTGTTTCCTGTTGAACTGAGAGAACAAGCAGATCTGAGATCAGATCTGCAACTGCCACAGTTTGATAAATGAGGACCACTGTCTCTAGACATGTTGGACGGCTGGACGCTGGGGTCCAGCTGGACTTCTTGGAGACATGGAGACAGCAACAACACTCATCTTCACACCAACACAAACACAGCAAGCTGCTCCTCTGATTGGCTGATTGCTGTCTCTGTGTCCAATCAGGAAGCCTGAACCATTCTCCTCCCACTGAGAAGCTTTACTGGGAACACTGGAGCTTTGCTTTGATGCTAACTGGGTTTAGTTCAATATGCTGACAGAAGCTGGCCTCACTACAAACATTTACTTACAGTAAAGTCTTTACAAGATCCTTCAGCTGCTGAACATCTGAATCCTCCAGGTTGTTTCCTCTCAGGTCCAGTTCTGTCAGCTGGAGGCTGTTGGACTTCAGAGCTGAGGCCAGAAAATCACAGCTGATCTTTGACAACCCGCATCTGAAAAACCTGAATAAAAAAAAAAAGATGAGCTGAAGCCAACAGGATGCAGGTGAACCAGTCCAACAGAACCAGTTAAAGATTCTCATGAATATTAACGCCATCAAGCTGCTGCTTCAATAAAGACCTGCTGACTTCAGAACCAGAACCAGAACCTGGTACTGGGTCATGTTGTGTTGGAGGATTTTAGTCAGTAAAAT